CCCTCTCCTCTTCTGCTAAACCCCCGTTTCCTGCATTTAACCCTCGTTTCCTGCTACTCTGCTAACATTCTGCTTGAAATTCTCCTAAAAACACCCTCTTAATGACCCCCCAATTCCAATAAAAATAACACCCATTTTAACTCCATTTTTTCGACTTTTAAACTGCAGTTTGAAGCCTCGCTGAGGTCCGGGCCTGAAAACAAATAAACCCTCCTCTGTGCTCCAAATCTGACCCTAAACCCGGGCCTAAACCTGACTCTGAATCTCAACCCAAACCCCCTCCTCTAAACCCTCTTTTTTTTGGTTTTTCTTGCAAAGAGGACCCACCCACCCTCCCCCCTCTCTCCTCCCAATTTATACCCCACCGGCTGTCCGTAACCCTCCCCGGCTGTCCCGTGCCCTCCTCCTCCCCTGTCCCCTGTCCCTTCTCTATCTTTATTCCCTCACCCCGCCCTCCACCTCCTTGATTCTTCCTCTCTTTGCACTGCTTCTCCTCATCTTATTCTATTGTTTTTGCTCCCCTGTTTTCTCCCTCTCTTCTTGTTTTTTTATCCACCTTTTGTCCATCACTCTTCTCCCTCCCCTCGACTCCACTTCTTATTAATTCCCTCTCACCTATTTTTATCTATGCAAGAAACCCTTTATTTTTCTCCCTCCTCCTTCTTCTAAATCTAATATTTACTCCTGCTTGTTCTTTCTTGTTGTCCCTGTTTTTTATCTAGTACTCTCTCTCCCCTCGACTCCACTTGCTATCAATTCTCTCCACCTACTTTTATCTGAATAATTTTACATAAAAAAGTCATCTTTTTTCTCCCCCTTCCTCCTTCCAATCTAGCATCTTTCCTTGTTCTCTCTCATGTGGCACTGTTGTTTTTTATTCACCACCCTCTCTCCCCCCTCGACTCCATCTCTACCCAACTTTTTCTCCATCCAACGTGTTTTATAAGAAAAAAACGACTTTTCCTGACTCTTCTCTCCTCCTAGATTTGATTTTCATCTTTTCTTCTTTTCATGTATTTTTCATATTTTCCATTTTATTATTTTTCCTGTGCTTTAATCATATTAAACTCTTCAATCTGCTTTAACAAAAAAAAATAATTTCCCCTCTCTCTTTCCCCATCACTTTTCCCCGCTATTCTTATACACATTCACTCCTCTATATTCTATTCTTTTTATTTCTCACTCAATTATCCTTGATGATTCATTTATTTACATAGATCTACTTTATGTCCACCTTCACTAAATTCACAAAAACACCTTCACTACGCCTCACCTTCACTCTAAACACTCTTTCTACTCCTCTAAACGCTTCTCTCTTGTTTTTTTCTTTTTTCTTATCCACTCACTTCTCCCCCTCCCAGCTCATCACCTACTTTTACTTTTTTAAAAAAATTCATCTTCCCCCACCTTAAACTGCTTCTTTCATTTCAACGACATATTCTATCTTTCCTCCCTCAGACTCTTTCCCTTTCATTCATTTTTTTCAGTGGCTCTCAAATTCAATATCTACAGCTCATCTTGATCCCTGAAAAATCATCTTTTTTTGACTCTAATTTTGATTTTATTTCAAAACAATGCTTAAATACACTATGGAAATCTTTCTAAACACTAATTTCTATCAATTCTTATATCAATTCTTATATCAATGCTTCTGTCAACGCTTCTGTCAACGCCCTGTCAACGCCTATATCAACTTTCACAAACTTCAACTCCACTCATCAACCCCCACTCCCCCCACTCCCCCCATTGTTCTATCCCATCATCTCTCCATCACTGCATCTCACCTCGACTCCATGTGGGGTAAATCCGGGGTAGGCGCTGAATGCACTGATAACGACATGGCACAACAAACAGCGGCCACTCATCCGGGTAATACATGCTATTTGCACAGGCAACACGCTACTTTATGTCTAATGCACTTTCAATTGATGCTGAAGAGATCATATCTACTCTTTCCTGCCCTATCCTCATTCATCTAGTAAATATACATGCCCATTATTAAATCCTGCCCATTTGCTTTTTAAATCATGAATGAAATCATCATTACCACTAGCACCCCCCTCATCACATTCCACCCGCTCACCCTTAATCCCTCACTCGGCTTCACTTCCCCTGCTTCATCCTCCTCTCCTGTCGTGCACTTCGTAGGCTTACACCGCCTCGTTGAGGTCAACGTTATTCTCGATGTGACCGTAGATGTAGTTGTGGATGTGCTAGTATGGGTCGACGTCTTTGTGACCCACGTGTCTGTCGTTTGCAGAGACTGGCAGTCTGTTACCTTTGCGTCTTTAACGGTTGTTGTTGTTGTCGTTGTGGTTGTAGTTGTGGTTGTTATGTTTTTAGTTGCTATTTCGTATGGTTTTACTTCCAGTGGTTTCAATCCATGGCATTTATTTTCTATCGTTTTGCATGAATCTTCACAATCACATTCCTTTTTAAATCCGCATCTTTTTAGTAAATCATGGCATATCTCCCTTAATTCTACATAGAGTCCAAATGCTTGTGCAACCAAATCAAATGCTTTCGCTTCGTCTTCTGTTACCTTCGCTGTTACATCTCTTCTTATAAGTCTAAACGGCTTCGTGTCTTTTCCACTAGGTACAGCTGGTGCACTAGGCACAACTTCGTTTTCCGATTTATTGTTTTCTACTTTTGCTTTTGATAAAACAAGACTTGCTTTTTTCATTGCATCTTCTGCTTTTTTTTTGATATCCTCATATTCACTAGCTTTCTTTTCCAGCTCTTTACTGGCTTCTGTAAGTTTTTTCTGTAATCCAGAACATTGCTTTTTTACTTGTTCTACTAATTTCTTGCAAAGCTCTTCCCTAACTTGATTATCCTCCTTACCATTTTCTTTGCACAAAGTTTCAAGACCATTGCTTGCATTTGCCCATTGTGTGCAGTATTTTTCAAGTGTATTCTGACACTTTTGCTCTGTTTTCAAACTGCCCTTTAATTCATAAGCTACTTTTTCTTCCAAATCCTTCCTTTCGATAAATAGTTTACACTCTTTGTTAAGTTTCTTACATTTTCCATCACCAGCAGTTAGATTCTGGCAACTTGACATAAACTTGGTACAATAGGGTGCCCAGGTGCTACAGGTTGATTCTTTTTCATCATTCTTTTTTATTTTATTCATAACATCACTTGCTTTCATACGTGCCTTCAATGTAGTACACTTAGATTCTACGCTTTTTGTAAGAATTTTGCATGTAATATTCTGTGCTACACATGAGAGAGCAAACTGTGTTCTTCCTTTTCTGCTCCATTCACGACATTGTTTTCCCAGATTCTCTAAACACGAATTGAAATTGTCCAAATCCTTCACCTTTCCTTCCAACAACCTCTCTTCCAATTGTTCTGCAATATTCAATCGATTGCAATGATGCTCCAACGTACGACAGGGCCACTCAAGTTCCTCAGAGTCTTGTCTTAGATCATTGCACTTCTTTAGCAATTCTTCGCAATCTTGCTTCGTAGGAAAATCCCGTTTCTCGTTCAAGTCTCCTTGTAACACGTCTGTCTTCATATGTAAATCTGTTAATACTGCAACGGCTCCTTCTATTGGTTGCACACATAACACAAATAACTCATCGCTCTCTCCTTTCAGACCCACACATGCCTTTACCAGCTCTTTTTGAATTGTTTCATACAATGTATTATTTGTATCACGGTGTTTCCCTCTCATTTTGTCTTGTAATACCTGGTTTGCTAATGCGTCACGCCCTTTTTTATAACACGTTGCCTTAACATTCTTACATATTTTTTCAAAACCTGTTTGACTTTCAAAATAAAAACAGTCTGACTGTAATTTTATGCAGTCATTTTCACTAAGGAAATTCGGTAACTCATTCCATAATATAATTTCATTGTTTTCAAATGAATTTCTTTGAAACATTGTTGTTAGAGTGCCTTTTGTTTTTTCAAAATCCCCTTTAAACTTTTTACATTTATCCCCATATTTGCCTTTATCTTTGCATAAATTCTCTAATTCTTTTGCTAGATGTTGAATAGAGCTACATTTATTAGTGAGTACTTTCTCACATTGAGTGTCATCAAAAGGGTCACTTCCTGACAGAAATACTAGTAAATCAAGAACATCCCTTTCTGGTGGTTTTCCAAGTAGAATTCCCTGTGTCGCCGCTTCTTTGTGAAGCTCTTCCAAACCTATTTTTTCTGCCAGCGTAGGTTCTGGTTTTGTAGGATTAAAATCTGAACCTGGTGGTACATAAAAGATTTCTTTTTCTTTACATTTTTTTTGTAAACTACTACACTTTGATTCATTATTATCACAATTTTGTCCATAAAAATGGCATTCTTTAAGTAAAGAACGCCCTCTTTTCTGTAACTCTTCATTACTATTTATTACTTTTCCTACCTCTGTTTTTAAAGATTTACACTTTTCTTCTGCTGTTTTTACTAGAGGTTCACATGTAGAGTCCGTATCAAAACATTTTTGCGCTAATTCATTACTTTCTTGACCTAACTTTGGACAAAGTTCCTTGAGCTTCTCTTTACATGTATCTTTATCTTTAAGATGGCCATTAAGTGCTCTTAAAAGAGCTTTTTCTGCCACTTTCTCACGTTTCTTTTGATAACACTTATTTCTTATAGTGTTGCAACCATCTTTGAGATCACCAGAGCATGCATCCTCCAAAAACAAGCATTTTTGCTCACTCTCTTTACAATTCGTATCTAATGGGTTTTGATTTACCTTTTGAAATGTTGATTTAAATGTTTCGCAGATATTTTTAATTTTATCTTTTAACCCTACGCATTTTTTTTCTGGGTTTCCATGATTGCAAATGTCTTTTAGTTTTGGACTTATTTTTTCCAAGTCCGTATAAACATCCTTTAAGTTTTTGCAATACTTTTTAAGTTCTGTTTCACATGCTTTGTTTTTTGTATTGTCTGTTTTTTCTTTTAAAATCAAAGCCAAAAGATAGTCCTCATCATCATATACACTTTTCACTACTTGTTGTGCCTGCCGCTTAACCGCCCGCGCCACCGCCCGCGCCAAGCTGTGCCTGACGGGGGTGGGCGCGCTGTGGTGTGGCTTGAGTTTGAGTTTCCATTAACGTGTTTCGGTTGCATGTTAGGTGTTAAAGCCATGTCTTTAAATTTGAATTATTCTTAATTTTAAGGGTGTTCAAGTAAAAACTGAGATAACTGTGATAGGCAGGCATTATGTGTGCAAATATATTTAAGAGGTGTCCGCTTTCTTTAACGTGTAATTGGCTGCTTTCACGATATTTTAAATTTGTGTGGGGTAAATGTGGGGTAATCGTAAAATTTGAATAGATAAAAAGTAGATTATAAAAGGAGATAAACGAAAAATAAAAGCTATTCAGGCAAATAATAGGGGACAACTAGATAGGGAACACGTGATTTCATGTGTAATGCACTTTCAATTGATGCTGAAGAGATGACTCAATCTACTTTACTCTTTCCTGTCCTACCCTGCTCGTTTATTTACTAAATATACATGCTCATCATTAAATTTTGCTCATTTGCTTTCTAAATCATGAACGAAATCATCATTGCTAATATCACCCCCCTCATCACGCTCCACCCACTCATCTTCAATCCCTCACTCGGCTTCACGTCCTCTGCATCATCCCCTGTCGTACACTTGGTTGGTTTGCAACGCCTCGTTGATGTGAGTGTTATTTTTGATGTAATCGTAGATGTGATGGTAGACGTGCTTGTGTGTGTTGATGTCTGTGTAACCCATGTGTCTGTTGTCTGTAAGGATTTGCATTCTGTTGCCTTCGGATCGGTAACGGTTGTTGTGGTCGTCGTGGTCGTCGTTGTGCTTTCTGTCACTGCTTCGTGCGGTTTCACCTCCAGAGGCTTCAGATTACGACATGTCTTCTCAATCTTTTCACACACATCTTTTAAATCATCACAATCGTCTTTAATCCCGCAATCTGAGGCCAATTTCTCACATCTTTCTTTCAAGTCTACATATCTTCCAAACACTTCTGCTGCCAAATCAAATGCCTTGGCTTCAGATTCTGTTACAAGTGCCTCCTTAACTCCTCTTCGTAGTATTTTCACATATTTTGTGGTATCTTTTTCATTTGAAACGACATTCTTATCCTTGCTTTTACTATTATTTTTCGGTGTATTATTTCCGTCTTTCTTAATGAGTGATAAAACAAGATTGGATCTGTTCATTGCTTTTTTTGCCCTTTCCTTAAGTTCCTCATATGTCTTAACATCTTTTTTTAGACTTTTTTCTAACTCCGTTAATTCTGCTGGTAATACTTTGCATTGCTGTTCCACCTCTTCCACTAATTTTAGACAAAGCTTCTTTCTAACATTTTTATTATCGGCCTTTTTAGTTTTACTTTCGGTATTATCTTTACATAAACTGCTGATTGACGCATTATTTACGTCTTTCAATACTGTACAATATCTTTCTAATGCAGGTTCACATTTAGTTATATTACTTAAATTTCCTCGAAGCTCTACTTTAAGAGCATCTTCTAAAACCTTTCTTTTGTAGAATGGTTCGCAATATTTTTTAAGATTTTGACAGAAAGTTTTTCCTTTCTTAAGATCAGGACAATTGGGTAAAAATCTATCGCAGTATGGATGCCATGAGGGACAAATATTTGCTGCTGATTCTGCTTTTATTTGATTTTTTTTAAGGGAATCATTAATATCTGATGCTTGCATATTTTCTTCGAATATTTTGCACCTATCTTGCACGTCTTTTACCATCAGCTCACATGTAGCGTTTTGGAAGACACATACAAAAGAGAAACGATCATCACCCCTTCTAGACCATTTATGGCATTTTCTTTTTAAATATTTTGTACAGTTTTCATGAGTTTTCAAAGTATCTTTGTGTTCATCCAATAAAATCTGTTTTAAAATCTCTGTAATCCCTAAGCGATTGCATTGCTGTTCTAGTGTATGACATGGCCATGTAATTTCTTTCGAATCCTTTCCTAAATCTTGGCATTTTCTCCCTAATTCTTTGCAGTCTTTATCTGTCGGAAAATCTCGCTTTTGATCCAGTTGTTGTCGTAAAAAGATAGTTTTCATTCGAAGATCATGTGTAAGCAACAGAGCTGCTTTTGCTGGCTGTACACACAGAATAAATAGTTCATCATTTGGAAAAGCTTTGTTTTTCTTTCTTATTTCTTCACACAATCCCACAAGCTTCTGTTGAAATTCCTTAAGCCAGCTTTTGTTTGAACCATGTAACATTCCTCGCATATTTTCTTGAAGCACTTTATTTGCCCGTGCATCAAGCCCTCTTTTGTAACATGTTGCTCTTATATTTTTACATGCATTTTCACCACTTGGACAACTTTTTTCAAAATAGAAACAATAGGACTCTAATCTTGCACAGTCTTCATTGCTAAGAAATGTTGGTAATTTTCCCCATTCCACAACTCTATCAAGTGGATCATAAAGACGGTTTTTAAGAACTGTTGGTTCAAGATTGGTACATGTTTTATTAATATCTATTTCCAATTCAGAACACTTTTTTGTTCCATAGTCAGTTATTTTTTCTTCTTTGCATAAATTTTCTAAAGCTTCATGATCTTGAGGATTTTTACATCTATTTTCAAGGACTTCTTTGCATTTCTCTTCCTTACCATTTTTCTTAAGACTAGAATCTTGAATCAACAACGCCAACAAAGCCGTTGCATCTCTTAGATGATTCTTTCCAATAAAAATTCCATCCTTCTCAACCTCTTTATAAAGCTCTTCCAGTCCTATGTCCTCTGCTACTGTAGGCTCTGGCTTAGTTGGATCAAAATCGGGTCCCGGATGCATATAAACAATATTTTCTTTTCCACACTTCTCTGCCAATGTATCACACTCTGGTACATATTCTTTGCAATCTTGATTAGTAGGTTTACTGCACTTTAATTTGTCTCCTTCACAGTTCCCTCTGTGAAAGTAACATCGTTCAAGTAGTAGTAAACATTTTCCTCGTAATTCATCTTCCTTTTTAAGTGCTGCGTTAACATCCTGTTCAAGAGCAGTACATTTTTCTTGTTTTTTTGATACAAATGTTTTACACGTCATTTCTTGGTAAAGACAGAGCTTCGTTAACTCATCGCTTTCTTGACTTAATTCTACGCAAACCTCTTTGAGTTTTGTTTGACATGTAGTTGTGTTGGTTAAATTTCCGCGAACTACTCTTAAAAGAGCATCTTCCGCCACTTTATCACGCTTCTTTTGATAGCACTTGTTTCTCAAAGTATTACAATCATCTTTAAGAACATCAGGACATGCTCCCTCCAAAAATAGGCATTGTCGTTCATTTTGTTTACAATCGTCATCTGTCAGTTCTAAAATACTTTTTCCAGCTGCTGTTTGAAGTTTTTTTTTAAATGTAGTGCATTTTTGAGTGACTTTGTCTTTCAGTTCTTTGCATTTTGCATCTGCTTTTCCACCTTTGCAAAAACCTTCAAGTTTTTCATGTACTTGTTTTATATTTAGTTTTGCTTCAGTTAATTCTTTACAATATTCTTTCAGTTTTTCTTTGCACTTCTGTTCCTCTAGTCCATCTTTTTTTAGAATCAAAGCTAAAACATGCTCCTCATCAATGCTATTCTGTGCTGCAGCCCTCCGCTTGACCGCCCGCGCCACCGCCCGCGCCAAAATCTAGAGGACATTAATGTGAGAGAAAGCGTGCTTGTTGGCTGTGTGGGCAGACTTTTAAAGCTGTTTCTATTTTATATTGCCTTCATTAAGATGTTGAATATTGAAAGTTTTAAAGGTAGTTTTTTGAGAAAAAAGAGTAATCCTATGTCATTTCTGTATTAATGACGATGTTTAAAGTGTCTTTTCAATTAATAATATGAGTATAATTTGGAAATACTTAAAAATTGAGGTTTGCATTTGAATTCGATACTGGAATCTTTAGGTCTGATTAATCTTCATGTTGTTGCACTAAATATTTATGCACTGTTTAATATTCATATTGAACATTTTTTTATTGGATATTTCTAAAGTTCTTCTTGAGTCTCCCATATCTTTCTCTAGGGAATTCTCCTTCAGATCACTTTTTAGAATATCT